ATGCTACTTCTTTGAATCCTCTTATGTGAACTGCATATCATCTTTGTATTTCCTTCTAAGTACTGTATTTGTTCTATAAATGATAAAGCCATCCTTGTTGAAGCAGTAAAATATACTTGGCAAAATAAGTAGGGATAATTTTTTTACACAAGAATAATATTTTCATACCCATGAATTTATGTAACAACAAGGCTCAAGTAGTTTTAAAAACATGTCATTTAAACGATTAGATACTTAAATCACACGTGTTTAATGAGTTTTGGGGCATATTGGTCAAGAAAATACGTGGCGTTAAAAAAGTAAGTGGAACAATGAGAGCATAGAAGTATCAAGGAGGTTTTCTTTAGTGAACATAAGAAAATTTCAGCATATCTGGTCAGAACTGGTGATAAGACGCTATGAGGAGGCATATGAGTATGGACGAACACTCCATGGTAGCAGGGATGCTGGAAGCTGGTAAAACGCAACGTCACATTGCAGAAAAACTTTATCTTTTCCAAAGAGGAATTAACGGTTATGGAACCGATATTAACAGGCAGAAAATTGTCCATAAGGCTAAAATCGGGACGTTCAAGGTGTACGGCAGTCCGTGAGGATCGTTATTTGGCCAATTTTGCTGAGACGAATCGCTTCCAAAGTGCTCTTAAGCTTAATACTGAGCATCAGAGAGCAACGGGCAGACGGATTTCTTCTCAAACAGTTTGAAACAGACTTCAGGAAGCAAATCTCAAGGCTTGCCGACCAGCCGTACGTCCTGTATTAAAATTAGAGTGCCGCACAAATCGACTTCAGTGGGCAACAGAACACAAAAAATTGGCAATAACGTCATTGGAGTTCTGTTCTTTTCTCAGACGAGTCGCGATTTTGTTTTGACTTCCATGATGACAGGAGACTTGTTTGGATTGCCAGTTTTGAAAGATATGCTGATTGTGTCACTTCTGAGAAATACAGAGTAAATGGAGGTTTGGTGGTGATTTGGGCAGGCATAAGTATTGACTGCAAAACTGATCTGCACATTATTGAAGGCAACCTGATAGGTTTAAAATACCGAAATGATATTCTTCATCCTAATGTTAGACGTATTGCATGTACTCTGGGGAGGATTTCATCTTAATGGACGATAGTGCTCGACCTCATAGAGTCCGAATCATAAACGAGTAAATAGAAAGTGAAACAACTTAGCGTATGGACCCGCCAAGTCGTTCTCTCGACCTGAAGTTAATTGAACATGCCTGGAACATTCTTTAGCAACGCATTTCAGTTCGTCTTACACTTCCCCAAAATCGACGGGAGCTTCAGACAGCATTGCAGGAGGAATGGCAACATATCCCTCAGGCTAGCCTTAGACGGCTGATGGCCAGCATGAGTCTGCGCTGCAGGGCCTCGCGGGGAGGTCGTACAAACTACTGGGAATCATTTTAGTGACGTAATTTGACTCTTCTGAAGAAAAATCTCATTTTCAGGTCTACCCCCAACATGCCGAATTCTAAAGTGACTGTAATGAACAATTAGTAGCGTGTGTTCAAACAAATTTATCACATCCAAAGTTTAATTTTCACTTTTTAAGTATAAAATATGATACTAAAATTAGGCTAAAACTGCATTCTGTTTTTTATGATACAGTATTTGTAAAACATTTTTAATTTGATGATCCTTAAGTTTTTTTGTCCACTATATACATTTAATAAAAAATCGTAACTGAATACCATTGATTGACGTGCAGAATTTTTATCGCTTATTCGTGGAAGGTCAATGGTAAATTTTGTATGCGTTAATTTTTAATCACGTAGTATATTCCTCTTATGAAAATCCGATTCTCAGCCAGAAAGGATTACTCTTTAATTTATGACTTAATATTCAAAAAGTTTCAAAATAAAGCTTGAAATTGAAATTTTTTCTTGCAACAATTTTCAATTTATGCTTCTCAATGTACATTCTTAAAATATTAAAATGAAGATATATTTGTCAAGATGATTAAAGAATCTACATGTATATATATATTGATACAATTTATTAGATAAAGAGTTACAATTGATATCCAAGTATAAGTTAACAAAAATGTAAACATAATTTACAATGTTTCTTTTTCACAAAAAAAATCACTTTCTTGGAAAATTAGAAAAAAAATGGAAAATTATATTTTTATAATGTAAGTATGTAATTATAATATCAGTAAATTTTGTATTCTTAGAAAAGAACGCTCTTATACCCTTCATGAATAGCTCAATAGTAAATTAAACTTTATGTAAGACATACCAAAAAATGGGACATCGCAGTAATCCCACAATACTTCTGTTTGATTGGTAAGACACCATGCTCTGTCACGGTCAAAATTTCTGCAGTAGTTTGATTGGTTCATTCCAAGCATGTCATAGTCATGTCTGTGTGGTTTCTGCTCTGACCAATATTGACATCCAAATCCTTTGATTGTTTTGTTTTCTGTCCCGCTGTACATGATTCCAGGAATTCGACATTCTGGAATTAAATTTTATAATCAAGCCTGGACCCAATTGGATTGTTTATGATTAAAATCCAAAGTTTAAAGTCTCATCATTTCGTAAGTTCTATGGTCGATATAATGACCTTGTCAGCAAAAACAATCTATCATTAAGTCAATGGCTGACTGACGTTTTCATACTTATTGTGAGATTATTATTTACAAACTCTATTGTTAACGGATTTTTCCGTTATTTCCCGATCAAGACAAGGATCACACGACAGGGTTGACTGGTGGGCAAGGGATGCTCACTCCTCCATGGCACCTGATCCCACCTCTGATGTCTAAGTGGTCCGAGTTTGCTCTGCTCCGAAAATTGTATTTTTATATGACCTTTTGAGCTGTAATAGTGTCCGTTATCTGCATATATATTTAAGTTAGATGTTTAAACCCCTTTCGAAAATTTTTCACTCAAAAGGACTCTATGATTAAGGATTGTGTGTTTTCTAGAAATTTCACAAGCAATGTAGGAAGTTGTTACTCGCTAAATTTAGTGATGAAGACTAAATTTGTATCAACTGAGTAAAGGGAAAATATATTTGTATAAGCTGAGTAAAGGTAAAAGTGTTGTAGTACCACAGTAAAAACTGTTCTCAGGAAGATCCAGAACACGTCTCCCTTTAAGTGTATCTGGTTTGTCACAAACCACATCGACACGACTTCCTTCCCTGCTCTCCAGTTCTAGCGAGGTGTGATGGATTTTCACGTAGTGCATTAACCACTTCATTCCACAGTCACATATCAAAGGATTGGAACCCAGATACCTAAGATGGTCAATATAAAGTATGCACAGCATAAAGTACATATATAAGCATTGAAAACATTTTTACATCCATAAGCATGTACATACAAACGATCAAGCCTCGTTCCGTTTCCAAAACAGTTTTTCTGCATTTCTTATATACTGTTCCCGTCTAGGTATCTGAAAATATTATAAGCCCATTTTTTATTTAATTACTAGTATTTTATTTCAAGTATCTTTTTTGTATTTTGAGCGTATTTTATATAATTCACACAAGAATTGCTGAATATTATAGCTTACACTGTCTCTAAAGCAGGAAGAGACTCAAATGCATGACTTTCAACTCTATTCAAAAACTTTTTATTGAGTACTCTGTAATTAAGAAAAAAAAAGATATTTGATATTTGGCATTATGTTAACACTTATTCTTCTTGAAATAAACAACATAGATAAAAAATAATATTTTTTAAAAGAATTAGCAAAATATTAGAAGTTACTAATATTTACATGTATTTCACTTTTGGTAAATTCTTAAAAGTTCCCTTCTGGATTTCAGCAAGTTTATTGTTAGATAGATATCTGAAAAATGCATAAATAGACATATGAAAAAAAATGTATAAATAGAAATCTTAAGAATGTGTTCAACAGATATCTGTCGATTGGATACATAGGTGTCTGAAAAATGTGAAATATAATACAAAAAAGTGAACTTGCAGATTGAAAATTAAAAAAAATATTCACATTCCATTTCTTTTTCCGAAGGTAAAACACAGGGGCGTAGCAACCGGGGGGGCCAGCCCCCCCCCCCACTTTTTTCCCCAACTTTACTTATACTATAGGAAATGTTAATTGAAAGCCTGGTTGGCCCCTCCACTTTTAGTGATGTACCGAAAATGTAGTATTAGATTGGTACTTAAAGTAGTTGACACTGAGAAAATAGTTTACCTACCCCCACCCACCCACGAAATAGGATTTTCGAGTTTGGGCAACATTTAACTTTTTCCTTTTTTTTTTTTGCTTGTCAACTTTTTCAGGTAAGTAAAAAAAAAATTTCTCTGGCTGGCCCCCCACTTTCAAAAACGATGCTACGCCACTGAAACATGTAGTAAACTGAAATACTTGCATTTCTTCTATTAAATCCAATCCATTAAAAAGTCCTGTTGGAAGGGTCTCCAATTCATTTTTGCTCATTGACCTACAATATCAATTATTCTGCGTGTGTATCAATTATGAACTTTGACAGTTGTTCATTTTCGCGCCATAAGTTTTGATTGATGGAGCGTTGATAATGTATCGATGATACAATGGGACAAAAGAATAACGACGCGATGATGTAATACGAAGTCACAAGTTAGACGAAGTGATAGATTTCGTCTTCGTTTAATATCACATCTTTAACAATTATTTATCAATATCGCAGCATCGCATAATAGCACTGTACAATCCTGATATCACACCACTACCCCAAATTCAGCGTATGGCGGTGCAGTATCAAACAAAGTAGCCTTACCTGCAGTTTTGACATAAACGTTTTACACTAGCACTAGAACTGGAAAATTTACATACAACAGTCGTAGATTTTGTAGATCCCGTAGAGCTAGGTTCCCTATTGTTTGAACGGCATTATCTTGCAATTCTCTGTAAAATATGTTCCACAAATTCCATTAATTAAACAAACCAAAAGAAAGTAATTCCTATTCAAATACTTAGAAAAAATCGACATTCTGCTAAAAATTTTTCTTACATATGTACCACGAGTACTTACAATTTTTCCAATCCTGAAACCATGCGGAAAGTGTCATTGCTTATCGCTCTAATCTTATTACTGTTTAGACGTCTGTAAAAAAGAAAATATTCTAGCATACCAGGGGTGGTTCTAAAACATTGGAACTTAAAATACATGATCCCTTTTCAAAGCCGGATTAGCGTAAATTAATATTTATTTGTTGCTTTCAAAAAACGTTTAACAAATATTTTTTCTGAATTTTACTTACAAATTCTGAAGATTTGGAAGCTTTTCAAAAGCACCGTCCTCTATCATTTCAATTTTGTTTTTGCTGAAATCTCTACAAATAACCATTTGTAAAAAAAAAAAGTAGCAGATGTAACAAACTCCTAGAGCTAATTTTAGATTCTTATGTCCAAATGAAACCTTACTTTTGTAAAGGAAACTCAAAAGTAAATCTGTACATATATACATTAATTTGAGTATAATTCATTGAATAGATATCATAAGTTCATTTACATATGTCGACAAACATAACAGATATATTACGTTTACCTAATAGCCAGCAAAATAACTTATATTTAGGTTGGGATATATAACCATATTATCTTGTATGTTATTTTAAAAATCCCGATGATATAATTCTCAATCATCATTTCTTTCATGTCAATATAAATATCTTATTTATCATATAAAAATATGTTACATTTGAATACAAAAAGTAAAAGTTAATTTGGTTTGCGGACTGTTATGAATATACTGTATGTATATTCGTCGCACTGGAATTCAATATACAAATGTTCATGCTCCTAATTGCTTCAACAAGAAACTCCTCATTAATAGATGGTTTCCAAAATTAAATTTCAGAAAATATTCTCAGATAATACTGTTAACAGGGACCCTATGGACCTATGGACGAAGTGAAATAGTAGGACTGGCTTTAGTTCAGACTGCTGTTAATCACTGAATCTACAGACAAGCATACCAAACTTTGCATTTATATCTTTTACGCTTACAATAACTTCAGTCGAATTGTTTTCCAGAAATATTGACGTTTGATTATTTTCAGGTGGTTGTATGATGCCGATCTACAAGAATAAAGAAAACAAGAGTGAGAGAGAGGCACTTATAGGCATATTCATTATATTTTTCTGTCGCTAATGTTATATTCATATCGTTCAAATCGTTAAACCATATCAAAAGTACAAATATTCATAAATTATCATACATGTAATTTCTTCGCCCACATTATATTTATGTATATTGAAAACAATCTGACACAAGCAGAACACGAAATGTTTATACTCACAGTACTTCCAGTTGTTCCAAGTAGGTAAAGGCGTCAGGGTGAATATGACTTAATCTATTTTTGTACAAATACCTGAAATGAGGAAATACTGTGAAAGAATGTGCTAAAAATTAAGACACATCTTGTTGGTAATCGATTTCAACTAATTTTTGTCCTTAAACAACTATTTTTTTTTAAATTTTAAGCATAAATAGATAAAAAATTTATAAATATGAATTGTAACCAGGTTAAATATATTTTCACAAAAATGTACGGTGTTGAATATTTCTGGTGATTAATTTGATTCAATCAGTTTTTATTATGTAAAGTCCATTTCCTTAAGTAGATTAGACATCAGGCATGGTCAATATATCATCGCCAAGCAGATTGGTAATTAAATACTTACAATTTCTTCAGGGAAGCACCTTTTTCAAGCTGATTTTCAGTTATGTTCTCAATCTCATTTCTTCCTAAAAATCTACGAAGTAGAGTATTAAGAATTCTGTACAAATGATCAGTCACTTTTTAATAAATTTGGGTTATTTGGTCAGTAATAATTCGTATATTTAAGGAATCACTGTCTAGTTAGGAGGGTATGTCAGGGCATCAACAATAGTGGGAAACATGGGATAATTTGCATAACGGGCGAAGCCCGTTATGCTTAAATTATCCCATGTTTCCAACTATTGTTGATGTCCCTGACATAGCCTCCTAACTAGACAGTGATTCCTTATATTTCCATTTCATTGTGAAATAAAATTGTAGATTTAGACTTTAAAAATATAGATTAATAGATTTAAATCACATGATGACTTCCATGCCAATTTCAATAGTCCTCACCAACCGACGTCAAACACAAAGGCAGCCGCACGAGATTTACATGCATATTTGGCCTCCTTAGCGTCAGACACAGAGACAGATGCGCACGAAAATTGCATGCGTATTAGGCCTGCTTAGCTCCCGACCTATCGACCTGCCTAATTTACATTCCGGCAGAATTATCAAGAAATAAACTACCCCTAACTTTCAAAGAGTTATCACAGAGAAAAAAAATTAGAAATGGAAATATTATAACGTATTAATTAAAAAAAAACATGGTCAATGCATAAGAAATATAACTTTTCAAGACATTTAGCACTTATTTCAACGAGCACAGATCAGTGCATTAGTAGCATGTTGGTTTTTAAAAAAAGCATGTATATTTATGTATTATGATGTTAAGCACACTCATCATTTATATTTTCATTCAGACTTTGTTTTAGTTTGTATGAATACATTCATAGATATTAATTATATTTCATATATCAAAAGGAAAATGAAAGTTTTCGAGTAAATGCTGCTTCTGTGTGAATGCAAAAAATAGGTCTGCAAAATCGAAGCGCAATAAAATTGAATGGGAATTCAAATAGATTGTTGGAAGACTTTATCTCTAAGAGTAACACAGATATTATTGTCATTTATTTAAATAAAAAAAGCATTTTTAATGTCAACTTCAGAGTGCTTGCGAGAATAATCAGATATTTATTAACATAATTATTTTTTGTAATGATCAATAACGAGGTACGTAAATTTACTGAAAAGCAGCTATCTGTGACGTTTGGAAAGCCTGGACTTTACTTATTCGTTGGGAATGGTTGTATTAAGTGTAGAAAAAAATCCATGTTTTGATGATATTAATTTTTTGTAAAATAAAAAAAGAAGTATTCAAATTTTGCTAAAGCTCGTTTAAAGTATTAAGTAAACATCACAAGTTTCCATTATAAGTATAGGTAATTCAATTTCAATCTGATTGTAGAAATATCTCAAATTTAGATTGACATATAATATGAAAGAAAATTTTTCATTAAGGTGGATAACAATTATCAAAATTAAATCCAAGTTCTTCTTCAATATACTGAAAAATCGCTTGAGAGAAATATCTGCATGCGAGTTTCGCGACCTACTTAAACTCGCGAATATTAATCTTCGGAAACTATTTATTTTGCTTCGGATATCAAGAAGAGAATGTTTATTCATTAGCGAAAATTAATCGTCGCAGATTGATTTCAAATTGACAAATCGCGAATAAAAGATGACGCGAATAATAGTTGGTTTACAATACTTAAAATGGTGAGCCTTAAAAACGAGGACTTTTTTGTAACTTACGTTATATATACGTCATAATTATTCTCGCCGAGGAAGACACTAATCGTACAATAGAACTTTATTAGTCAAATAGCTTTAAAATTATTTTGAAAACTGACAAGATATGAAAGTTTTAAAGACGAGACGATTGTCTTTGAAAGCAAACCACGTACCCGCAAACAAGAAATGATTACAATTATTGTATACAACAGAAATCGGATATAAAAAAGAATTATTACCTCTCTTGAAAAAAAAATGAAAGAAAATATATTTGCTACATGATGAATATGAATATGCCAGAGGGTTTACAGAATACCTACAGTTCTGTCGTTTTGTCGGGGATATCTTGTGGTATAAAAGAAAATCCTCGATTTTCACACATCACCACTGAACCATTACAAGAACATTTATCAGGACAGCCATGCACATAGACAATGATAACAGAGAAAACAAGACCAATGTTTCTCTGTAGCATATTGATTGTTTTAAAATACCCAGAACCTTTTTGGATGTTTATATACTTGTTGGTATATAAATAAAGCAGGAATAAGGAAGACATTATATCCTTATTTGGGATGTTGTGATATATTATATTCCCAAATTCTACTTAAGGGGGATGTCCGGCCACCATTAGTACAATACGAACAAAATGTAAACATTTCTTCAAATGGCTAAAATACGTTATATTTTGATCATATTTCAAGTCCTACAATAAATATGCATTATTGAATGCATGTTGTGTATATATAATCTATACTTTTGCAGAAAATGCTTTTGATATGCTCCTTAGAACTGCGAAGCTACAGAATTCAGCAGAGCCTTAAAAAATCCAACAAAATATGCAAATGTGCATTAATGTTCTCTCTATAACCATTTGTTGAGAAAATGTCTAAAATGGTTCAAAACAAGGTACTGTTGTCTTCAAAATGAGTGACTGTAAAGAACCATGAAACTAGTTCATGGATAGCAGCATGTGGTCTATTTTTAGCACAGAATTTTTTTCCAGACCTCTTCTTGATATGGAGGTACATAATAATCTTAAAAATTAGAAGAGAAATATAGTTGGAAAATGTTTCAAATAATATGAACATTTTCAAAAGAGAAATTGTGTTATATTGTGGCCTAACGTAATTAGTATTAGTATGTGTCCGATTGAAAATTAAAATAGGAGGTCACAATGGCAATATGTAACAAAGATTCTTTGAAAGTTTCATAAAATTTCATTCAGTGGTATAAGAGGATTTGCGAATAAGACATGGGTACCCCAAAGAGTAACGGACAGAGGAATAGACGTACAGCTATACAGACGGACGGATGGACATCCGATAACTATATACCCTCCCGCTTTATGAGCGGTGTGTATAAAAATTAGGATTGACAAAGGTCTGACCAAGGCTACGTTCTAGTTCTCACATACTTAGACCTTTCTTATATTTGATTTAAGTTAAAATAAATAATGTACACATGTAATATTATATGTCGTTTTTGGTGACTTGTATAACTAGTTTTGTTTTCATTTATAATCGTTAAATTCGAAGTATAAGTGTGATACACTTATATAAAAAGCATTGATTTACTTTTAAATATGCAACGTTAAGGAAGTATGCCCTCGTAAACGAAGTTTTGGCGGTTTTTGCCCTTTCTGAACGTCCGTCTGTCTAGCTGTCCGTCCGTCTGTTTTTCTACAAAAA